TTGTTTTTAGTGCTCGGCGGCCCCGCGGACTCTCACCTTTTTCCCCACCGCCCCCCTTCTCGATGTGCAAAAGGTTTTTAATTTGGGGGCCTTTTGACACAGTGTTTTTAAAAAAAAAATTTTTTTTTGGGGGGGGGGGGTTGGGGCCCCCCCCCCCCCCCCCCCCCCCTGCTCCGTGCCTTATGCTTTGGAAGAGTTTTAAAATTAAGCCTTCTCAAATGGCAAAGTAAATGCTATGGTATAATAAGTGTGAGAATTTATATAAAGAGAGTGTTTATAATTTCTCTTACAATGCTGGTACACAATAAGAAACTACTGTAACTTTTACCCAGGGGAAGGTCATCAGCAATTGAATGCAACACATGGAGCACTATTTACAACTGTGTTTAATTTTGACTTATCTATGATATCTTCATTAGGTCAATGTTTTTTGCCTACTTTGTCGCAACCTCAGCTTGGTACCAAACATTTTCTGTTTAATATGAGATATTTAACAATTATTCTTTGAAATCGAGGTAAATATTCCCACAGCCACTATTCACCAAGATTGAAAAGAATAATTGTTTTAGTATATACACACAAAGTGATCTCAACAAAATCAGAGAGGAAACCATTAAAAAGTACGATTTGATTGACAGATCAAATCACGCGGAAGTTTAAAAATAGATCTTTGCAGAATTTTCAAACATGGCAATTCACAAGTTTATGATTTTGCAAACAACAGCGTAATGGCTTAAATGGAACCGCTAAAAGTTTGAACTGTTTCTTTACCTGAGAAGAAAAGTAGAGCTTTGTTGTTTTCTGTTGACTCGCCAAGTTTATAGCCAAAAGGGTTTGTTGTGTCGTTCTTCGCATGAAGTGCTGAAAAAAAGGCGGCTCGGTTGCTCGAGGTAAGATGTCGTCTTCCTGTATCATTCTTTTTCCTGTTTACTTGAAACGTAGAATTTCTGCAAACATTTCCTTTTAAATTTGTTCGTCATAAATAAACTTCGATTTTTGAGCCAAAATTTTCTTGTTAGAAAACGCTGAGTTCACGAAACAGCTTCTTCTTCGCGAATACACGGGAGTTGTAAACAATCCATCGAGCACAAAACTCAGTTACAGTAAATTGAAAAATGCCGTATTGAATCCTTCCAAGTCTTTTCTTGCCTTAAAAAAAAGTCAGCCCTAGGATTTTGTCGACTTTTAAAAGATCGTTCTCTAAAAAAATGGGAAAAACACCAAGCTCACACATTATCCACTCGCTAGGAGGTGAATATTGTTTAATAGTCCGAGATAGTGAACCAATCAGATTGCTTAAATCACCAATATCACTGAGTGTGTATATACTAATGGCATATATATGTTGATATGCAAGCTGCCAAATCATAATCAAACCTTCTTTGGTTGAATGTCATACACACATGACTCTATAGTGTGTAGAGGAGAACTGTAAGTGTAACATTTAGCTGAGGTCTTTCAGAGAACTAGAGAATACACGAAAAGTTAGGAATTCACCAAATTTAGCAGAAATGCAATGTTCATAATACTGTCTTGGAGGCTCTTAGTGTGACTACATTGTCACCAGTCTGTACCTAAGACTGTGAATAGCCATATACATTGTACAGTGCTGGCGATTTTGCTACTAAATTACTGCATAATATTACACCCTACTTGGAGATTGTGTATCGTTTGGTGTCAAGAAAAATAAGGCAATTTTAAAACTGAACAAGCATTGTTGTGGATGCAACATATTGTTTACCTATTTCTCCACTTGAAGTTGGCTTCTTTGATGCAAAAAATTAATGATGATTTGAATCTGGCTTTACCAAAGCATATTTCACATCTAAACAACTACTGCTTAGTTTATACACCAACAAAATTTCAGGGCAAAATTTTGAAGTAAGGATAGTGTAGTCACTTAATCCACTTGAAAAAGAAACATGTCATGCTTGTTAATATATCAGACTATATCAGACTGTCACATCATTTAATATTCAGACACCAAGCAAGAAGTTGGAAATGAGGTGCTGCCAAACATTTTAGCCAGGTGTTTTGTTTTTTTTTTCGCAGAATTTTATGGCAGTTAGGATTTGACACCCACGCTTTTTTGCACGGCACTGATTTCCTTGGTTTCTCTTCATGAATCATAAATATTTTTAAGAATCTTATTTCCAAGTGTTTAATTTTTTGTGCCCTGTTCTAATCAAGTGAGTCCAGTATCAGGGGCACCCAACAATGGTTTCCTCTTAAATGCACTGAAGACACTTTTTAGGCTATCCAGAATATTTTGAGATCTCTAGAAATGCATTCTTAGCGGCGCTATAAAATTCTTTATCTGTTTGGTCTCCCTCGGGTGACTTGAGCCTTGTCAAATGTACAAGGGGTTTAGTATTATTTCTTCAAAAAGTTTCGATACAATTTTTAAAGTTTTATGAAAGGAGAGAGTGTTTCTGATTCCTCTCTTCATCACATTTTTGAATGCAAAAATTTTAGGTTTCTTCTCCTATGAACAAAATCTAATCCTGGGGAGTGAAATGTGTAAATGGAGTGCTCAGATTTTTTCTTCTGAGC